TTATTAGAAGGTTTAAAGAATATTATAATTATAGTTATGAGAAAACGAGTTAACTAAAGGTAGTCATATAAACAGATTTTGTCTCTTTATTTTGGGGTTGCACTCTGAAAGACATGCTGCGTTATTAATATTTGAGTCTCGTAAATATTAAAGAAACTAATTTTACAAAACACGCATCAGATTCCAGCATTTCATCATTTATGAAAACAACAGCAAGGCCAAAATTAAAAAAAAAAATTGGAGTGAAAGCCCTTGTTCTTTGTACGTGTGAGAGCAATGTGAGATGTAATACACACCACCGTGTTTGGAGAAAAACGAACACAACCTGTCAGCACAAACAGCCCATCCCATTTGTCAAGCACGGTGGTGGAAGTGTGCTGATTTAGGCTTGTTTTGGAATCACAAAACCAGAGGCACCTTGCAGACATTTGCTCCATGTGTGACATTGATAAAGTCATACAGAAAACAACTACTGAGAGTTATATCTACTAAAACTGGTTCTGTGAGCTACTGAATCATAGACTTAGTTGACCACACATGACTTTTCTATTTTTGGCTGTGTTTTGTTTCATATATAATGTCATGGGAGGATCTTTTGTCAACTTGTGCACTTGAGGAAAATTTTGAATAGTTTTTCTACCAGGTAAAGATCCCAATTTTTTTTATATCTGAAATGTCAAACTCTAAAATGAAAAGTTGGTGGGATTCATTTTCCCACTGACACTGTGGTAACATGTTACTCAAGTCTAAACTAGGGCTTTGTATTGGCAAGAGTTTGGCGATATGATACATATCATAACAGAGGGGTCACGATACGATATATCCCGATATATTGCGATACTGTAAGCAAGGCAATATACTGCGATATATTGCGATTTTTTTTGTCCAAAAATTCTATTAAATAAAAACCTCTTACTGAAAAAAAAAGAAAAGAAAAGTTAATGTTTACGTACAATGCTAATGCGACCCTTACTCTCTGGCACTCAGGAGGTAGAGGAGCCAAGTGGCTGGCTCACTGCTGCCAACTAGTGGTCAGAGGCTGAACTACAACATAAAAATGAACGGTTGGCAAGAAGGTTGACATTTTAAACCTTAATAA